TGGGTGTTATACAAAAACAATGGATCATGGATCACCACATCAAAAACTAATGATGTATTGTATGGTGACTAACATAACGTAATAAAATTTAAAAAAAAAGATACGTATCTGTGTTAAAATCCAATCTTCTGATTTCCTTAGGGCAATGAATTGAAATTTCCACTTCATAGCAGAATAGAACTCCAGTAAACAATCTAATTTAGTTCTTATGCTTACTCTTCTCCTCAACGAAAAGTACCACCACTTCCTTTACAAGAAACCCATGTGGTCACAAACTGATAGATTTTACAATGCAAATTAATGAAACCGTTTTATCATGTGCCATCCACCATTTATAGAAATGGACTTGGCTATTGTGAAGCCTCTTTGGGAAGTTTTTTTGTTTGTTTGTTTGTTTTTAAGAGAAAGAGATAAAGAAGGGGTGGGAGGAGGCGGGTGGAGAAGAGGCAGAGAGAGTCCTAAGCAGACTCTGCACTGAGCACAGAGCTCAACATGAGGCTCGATCTCACAACCCGAAGATCAGGACCTGAGCAGAAACCAAGAGTCAGATGCTTAACTGACTGCACCACCCAGGCTGCCCGCCTCTTTGGAAAGTATTAAGTGAATTTACCTGTATCCTTGATTACAACTTCTTCAGTCACTTTAAGCAACTCATTTAGAGTGTGTTATCATTATATTTTTAAATTACAGAACATCAAGAATACTTATATTGAAACCTTCTTTTCTCTGAGGGAGGAGGTACAAGTTCCAAAGTAGCACAGGGGTATTCTCGTGTGTGTGTTTGGTTCTGAGGAAAAAAGCCATATCACATGGATGTTTCATAATATTTGGCATCTAAACTGGCTAGCAGATTATATTACACATAATTAAGGGAACACATTCCTTAAACTTCCTAAAAACAAAACATATCCTATATCCTGCCACAGAAACAAGGATTACAAATATTCCTTTTTTTAAAAGCCATTAACCAACCGAAATAATCTAAGGTCCTAACCCCAGCTATTTAATAACCTGATAGTATACATTACTGTAACTTGCCCTTGTTTCTAACTTGACTGTGGTTATAAATTTTACTTGGTCTGATTTCAGTTTGGTAACCAACTTGAGGAAAAGAAGTAACAATGAAAACTTTTAAGAAGAAAGGATTTTCCTCCCTCTTCAGTGATTTCAGTATCTTAATAGAAGATATAACTATAAGGTAATGAGAAGTCTTTTAAAATAAACATGCCAAAATGCATGCAACCAAAAAACAAAGTCCTAGGGCACCTGGGTAGCTCAGTCGGTTAAGCATCCAAACCTTGATCTCAGCTCAGGTCTGCATCTCAGGGTCCTGAGTTCAAGCCCTGCATTGGGCTCCACACTGGCATGGAGCCTACTTAAAAACAAAACAAAACAAAACAAACAAACAACATAAAGTCCTATAATTGTTTGTTACATTTCTAAAAACTACTTAAAAAGCCATCACAATGAATCAGGTAGATGAACTTGAGAAAAGCTGACTTCGGTTTGAATGGAGGAAAAAGGAGGCTATTTTTTTTTAAAGGCAGAAATTTCCTTCAGATTCTAAATGCAATTCAAAATGAAGAACACAAGGGCGTCTGGGTGGCTCAGTCAGTTAAGTGTCTCCCTTCAGCTCGGGTCATGATTCCAGGATCCTGGGATCAAGCCCTGCCTTGGGGCTCCCTGCTCAGCAGGGAATCGTCCTCTTATCCCTCTCCCCCTGCCCCTCCATCATGCTCATGCTTTCTCTCTCTCTCAAATGAATAAATAAGATAAAAAAAAAAGTCACAAAACTACGGAGCTATGGTTGCATCAATGAGCTGAGCATATAGCCTGTTATATACTTTAAGGTTATACACTTCAAGGTTAATAATGTTCATTTCTACATACGGTTTTCTGATATGAGCCTGAAAATTTTAATAATTTTTAACCATAAATCATATGGTTCTAATTCCTTTAGGATTAAGTAATAAAGTACTATAATCAAAATGGAGCATTAAGTCTAATAACACCATAAAGAGATAAATCCAGAATGTGGAATTCTGTGCGACAACTAGTATACATCTTTAAAAAATCAGTAGCAGGGGAAAAAAAAAGGCAAGAAGATTAATCCAGATTAATAAAGAATAATGGAGAAATGTGGTGCATGTTACTGGATTTTCAAAAAAATTAACTATAAATAACAGTTTGGGGACATTTGATAACAATAATATCATAGAATTACGGTTAATTTTCTTAGATGCAATAAAGGTTTAGGTTATGTAGAAGAATGTACTTATCCTTACAAGATACATGATAAAATACTTAGGAGTATGGTTCACGTTTATAACTTCTCTATTCACACAAGACAGTGTATATGTACACATACACACATATATATACACATGTGTATATAAACATACATAAAGAAATAAAGCAAATGTGACAAAACGTTATTGATTAGTGAATCTAGACAGAGTATTTGGGTGTTCAATGTATTATTCTTTCAATCTTTCTGTAGGTCTGAAAATTCTCAACATAAAAAGTTGCTGGGAAAAGTACCAGATACTCAGTATCAGATATTTACTTCAACGGGCCAATTTAGTAATAATCTCCCACTCCCTCTCTCTGTCTAATCTTAACCTCTAAAGCAGTGGTCTCCAAATCAGATAGACACATCCTAGGACACAGACAAAATGAACCAGAGATATAGAAGGAAAATATTAGAATTCCTATTAATATTCTTTTCCTCTGACCCTTCTAAGATGTCTGTTTTTCAGAGTGTTGCATAATGCACAATATATATTGCCACAGTAGAACCGGTACAATTTGTAAGTACATATACATACATATTTTGAAGCTGTATACTTAAAAATATTTGTTACTGATGAGGGTATCTGATAAAAAAATTGGGATACAATTCTTCTCTAAAATAGACATACCTATTTTTAAGTTTCTGACCACCAGAAGACCATTAAAACCAGTCCTTTTTGCTTTTATCAGGGAATGCTGACTCAATAATTTAATATGTAATCCTTATCTGAAATGCTAAGAAACTACAAGAAGCAGCAAAGAGACAACAGTGGTAGTGGGAAGTATTAGCGTAAGCTAAAGAGTCAGAAAATCAGCAAAGTACAGAATGACTACAAGTTATCACACATAAAATGCAAAATTTTGTTCAGCAAGGAAATCTATGATTTTAAATACTAAAATTTAAAATGCTCTAGAACATAAGGAAAGAAGTGTTGAATCTAGGAAAACTTCAGAAAAAAATACTTAAGTTTTATCATTTCAAAGAAAGGTCATACTAAAAAAGAATACATAAAACTTAGCTTTGATTAAAAAACTAGAGGGAGCATATCATCATAAATAGTATAGAAAATAATCTAGATACTTGACAAGAATACCTAATCAAACCATGATTCTAAAATAAAAGATAACTGAACATAAGGCCTTCAGAAAATATTTAGCTAAGTTTCTTCTACATATTTTGAAGGGTGAAGGCAGTTAGCTGATTTAAAAAAAAAAAGGAAAAGAAAATGATACAAGAATAAAAACTTTAAACTACATTTTTGTTATTAAATGTTTAAAAAGTGATATAACAGAAAGCTATAATTATTAGTACAATTGCTAATAAAATAATAAACCAAGGAAATAGATGAGGAAAAGAAAACAGTGATTTTAAAGTATTAAACGGATGAGCATTTGATCAGTAATACCAATGGACCTCATTTTAGAAAGTAAGTTTTTATAAAGCTGCATAGTTTATCATATAGGACACTAATATGTCTTATATAAACTTGAAGCTTTGGACTAAAGATACTTCAGAGCTGAATTATACATGTCATATATACATGAAAATTATACCAAAAAAAATGTTAGTGGCCTATTAAGCATTTTAAATACAAAGATTAAAAGGTGTAGAAACAAAGTTCCAGAAGTTAGTACCATAAAGACTGGAATCTCTAGACCCCTAAAATGGTACCTCACTGAGTAGGAGAGAGAGGTACAGAGAAGGATGATCCTAGAGTTGGAAAGACTGTAAAATCACAGTAAGTACATACTACACATTAGTCCTAGAAGGTTTATGGCATGGATAAGATTATAACATCCAACTGGCCATGGGTCTGTCAGTTACTTACGCTAGACTGTAACTGTCTGAGTATTTATACACTCATGGAAAAATTCATGTTTATGTATACATACTCAAATTCTATAAAGGAAATAAACTGAGAAGTAAAATTTGCTTCACAGAAATCTACATTATAGTTAATTCATTTTATAAATAATATGATTTATATTTAAGAATTATAAATAATTCTAAATAAATAAAGAATTATAAGTAATTCTATACCTTAAAGAATTATAAATAATATAAATAATTATAAATAATATAAAATTTATATTTAAGAATTATAAATTCTAAATAAATTATAAATTAAGAAATATAAGTAATTCTACACCTTAAAAAAGGGAGGGGGTGGCTATATTTTAAAAAGACTTTTTGAAAAGTATGACACATACACTGGTTACAGAACAGAATCATTTGTGCTCCTAACTGGTCCTTTCTTATTTCTATCCTTGACATGTCATCTGAATGATGGAAAATCCAGGGGTTCCTTTCCATTGGAATTTTTCTATCCGGTATTTTTATACCAAATAAATGCAAAGCACAAACTAATACAGTATCAATTTTAAGTGCTCATCATTTAAACCTTTATAAGGCTAGTAATAGGTAAGAAACATGTATATGCATTGTAATAAGGGCAGCTTTTTTTAATCTCACCATTCATTGACTTTTATAGGTCAAAAAGCATACTAGAGACTGTATAATTGATGTTACAGCATGAAGGATATCAAGATAAACTGGGAAAATGATACATTTGCCATTGGTAAACAGAAATTTATCAAAAGACAAAGAGAAAAATACAACATGACTTGGCAAAAAGTCTATCGGTTAAACTAGAATATTCAAATTGGAGTGAAAAAGATTATAATCTGTTTGACAATGTTTATCAAGAAACAATATATTAAAACTGTTTTTAGTGTAAAGTATGAATTCAAGTTTTAAAATTACTGTTTTGAGGGAAACATACTCTAAACTCAGGATAACACACTAGGGTGACATACTGAAGTTGAAGACGATGCTTGTAAATTTGAACCTATAACATTAGTCACCATTAAGATTACTTGCCACAGATGGAACCATTTGTCAAAAAGAAGAGGAAAAAGTTACTTGATTACAGTAGTCTTAGAAAATACAAATTAAATGTTCATTTATGGTGTGAAACATGTTAAGTCAATTCATTTAATATAATGCTGAACTCCATTTTTCATTTGTTTAAATAGTGTTAAATAGCAGTATAGCACAACTAGGGAAATGATAAACATTTAAGAAGATTAAAATGTCAGTGGAAAACATATTTCATGTAGATCAAAAGGAAAGCCTTCATCCAAAAATACTCCTGAATAGGAAGCCAAAATAATTCCATTAGAACTTTGAGAGGAGCCCCAAAATTCCAGTTTGAAAGATAAGAATATACAAACTCTTAAGCAAAACCAGAATATAGAATACTTTGAAACATCTACTTATATCCATTTTAATGAACAATTAAAGGATACAATTGTTAAAGACATTTAAAAGACTAACAGTGGGAAAAGACAGATGAATCAAATTTTGTTTATATCCTCAATAATTACAAGAGACTTTGAAAATGTAGTGTAATTCATGTTTTCTTTCCAGTTTAAAAATTTCTATCCATTGCCTCTATCTTTGGTGTCACTGCCACCAATAAACACAGTATACAGCTTAGAAATCTAATTACTATCTTCAACTAGGAAAAAGTAAATCAACATTATTCCTTTAAAAATAAGATATAAAGAATGTGATCCTACTTAATTTTGTCTCATGGTCCCACAATATTCTGAAATATCATGCCGAAATGTAAAAGTTTAAAAGGGAACACCATGATTTGCTGTACGTGAACCAAAAATTTAGCTCCTGTACGCTGGTATGATGACAGCTAGTAGTACGCAGAGGCTACAGAAAGACATCAAATACCTAAGTTTAGCTCACAATGAGTCCAAGGAAGGTTCAGTTTAACGTGAAACTGAAACATGGACAACATAATGCCTTCACGTAAATATGCTACAGCTTTGTTCTCTTGCAGTTTAAAGGGACAGTGTAATTATCTTAAATTTACACAAAACATTATGAAACATGGTAGTTGTTCATGATTAAAATAAAATAGCAATGTAAATTAATTTAACAGTGTTAAATATATTCACATGATCACCACTGTGATTCAAAATGGCCACCAATGAAGTTACACAGCAATATATGTACATAACATTTGCCACAACAGTTTTTTGTAAGTTTGACTTTTGCAGACCAGGTAATTTCATGAGACAAATAATCTTGTAGCAATTCTTCCATATTATGAAAGGAATTAAATGTTGTAAGTAGTTTCAATCCTCTAGGGGAGGGGAGGGGAGAACCTCTAAAAAGTCAGTGCAAATTGAAGAGAGTTCTACCTTCTTGAATATTTGAACCTGTAGACCAAGATAGATTCCTATAAGCTGAGGATAAACAAACCTTATGATATTAAAGAACCTCATAACATTGTCAGCGGCATTTAGCGGATATTTGCCACAAACAGGAATCCCAAGTCCTATAGCAGAGCCTTCTGAGAATATGGTTGCTGTGGCTGAGGTGGCTGTTGACTGCCTCCTGGTTGAGGCAGCGTTGACGATGTCAAATTATAGTTCGGCACCTGGGACATACTAGTTCCTGCATTCTGGTATACAGTGACATCAGCAGCAGCAGCAGCAGGAGGAGGACTATATACTGAAGCCTGGTTGGGGTATGTATTTCCTTGAACAGAACTGACCATTGTGCTGTGGAAGGGGGGAAAAACACTCAATTAGATCAATACTGACTTACATAGCCATTTAGAGATAAACAGGAAAGCTATTCATTAAACATTCGCTCATTCAATCCATCCCATAAATATTTATTAAATACAGATAAGAGCCAAACATTTGCTAATTTAGGCACTGGGATGTTATAAAGAAAGAAGGAAAAAGAGTCCTTATCATCAGGGAGCTTAAATTCTAGTAGGAGAATAAAGATATTAAATCTATAATGGGTCAAGTAGTAATAACTGGTTGGAAGAAAAATAAAGCACAGTAGGAAGACAAACAGCACCTGGGACAAGAGATCCCAGTGTATGAACAGTGGTAGGGCAAGACCTCTCAGGTAAGACAACATTCAAAAGACAGCTGAAAAACAAGAGAGACAGAGTCATATTGATTATCTAGGGTGGGGTGGGGGGAAGTACATCAGGCAAAGAGGACAGCCAATACAGAAGCTTTTGAGGAGAGAAAATGCCAGGCATGTTCAAGGAGCAGAAGAGAAGCCATGACGGAGACAAGAATGAGCACAGGGGAGCACAGCATAACATAAAGGGGCAGATTTAAGCGGGAGGAGAGCCTTAGAGCATGTGGTGCCTTGTAGATCGTAACAAGGATTGTGGCTTATATTTGAGTGAGATGAAGATAACTGACTGGTTGGTTTTGGACAGAAGACTGACGGCATTTGATTCAGGTTTTAAGAGACTCACTTTGGGCCAATGATAGATTACAAGGATACCTGAAAGGAGGCTACTACAATTGTCCAGATGAGAGATGACAGGTACTAGAGCCATGGTGGACATGGTAAAGAGGAGAGGAAAGGGTCGCATTTTGAAGGCAGTGCCATCAAAATTTGCTAATGGGAAGTAGTCAAGATTGCCTGAACTTTTAGAACTGAGTACCTGGCAGAGTGGCCATTCACTGAAAAGGAAGACTACAGTAGATTTGGGGAGGGAGAATCAAAGTACAGTTGTGAACACATAAAGCGAGAGACCTAGGAGATTCACAAAAGACAATGGACAGGCCTGGAGTCCAAACGAGAGGTCCAACAGTGTTCAGAGTCATCATGGGCCTGAATGAGATCCCCTAGGGAGTGACTACGAACAGAGAAGTAAGTAGTTTTTATTTAAACCCTAGACCTAGAAAAAAGGAAGATAAAGAGGCACTAGGCAAAGAAGACTGAGGAGTGGCAATAAGGTGGAAGGAAAACTAAGAATGGTCATGGTCAAGTGAAGACAGTATTTTGAAAAGAAAGTGACCACTGGATCTAACAGTACGGAAATCACTAGTCCTTGACAAGAGCAGTTCTAGTGACGAAGGGAGATGAAAGCTTAATAATCCTGTTTCTCTTATTTCCCTGAAAATAAAGCAGCATTTTAAGAGGCCTCCTGGGGTGCCTGGGTGGCTTAGTTGGTTAATCGTTTTGATTTCGATTCAGGTCATGATCTCAGGGTTGTGAGAGGGAGCCCGGAGTCAGTCTCTGCAACTGGGCATGGAGCCTGCTTAAGACTCTATCTCTCTCCCTCTGCCCCCATTCCCAACTAAAAAAATAATAATAATAAAAGGGGCCTTCTATCTACTCCCACCACATTTACTATCTGTACCACACCCACTGATAAGACTCTACATTCCCTCCTGCTGAAACTGATCAAGGTCAGTGCTCCCATCCAAGGCACCTTCCACTGTGCATGCCTCCTATTCCACCAAAAACATTCCTTCAGAGTTGTTGCTCTCTGCTTCCTCTCTTCCTGTTCCCAACCTGCTATTTGAGTTTCTACTCTGTGTAAGACACTAGGTTAACTAAACAAAGAAAAATATTAAGAGCTTTAATACTGAGATTCCCTCCATACTTTTCATTAAAAATTGTAAAACAATCTATACAATGGGCAATTGCCCCAAATTTTCAAAATATTGCCTATTTCTAAACTTTTCTCCAATTGCTACACTGTTTATAAATCAATCATTTGTAAATTCAATTCTCTTCTACTGTGCAAAAAAAAAAAAAATTCATTATTATAACAGTCATTTACTGCTACATTCCACCTAGTAATGTAACCACTTAAGTAACGGTTTAAAAGCATTACCCATTATCATTCTATGTGTTGTGTTGTGAGATATAAAGTATAACAAGAAGTTGGATTTGATGCCATTACTTACATCAGTAAGAGTCACAATACTAGTATAATAAATACAACGTTGAGACCAAGTGTTTAGCTCTGGAGCCAAAATGCCTGGTTTTGTATCTTACCTCAGTAGGACTTTAGTCCTCCCCTCCATGTCTCAGTTTCCTCTCTATAAAATGGGTGACAGTGTATCTACTTCACAGGTTATTAGAATAAAAGAGTTATAATACATGTAAAGCATACAGCACAGTGTCTGGTGCTTATTGAAACACCCATAAGTGTTAGCTATTACTGCAGTCATTCCGATTTTGTACTGCATTTCCTATCTCATTTATAGTTCTGCCATCTACCTGAGGGCAAAACCCAGCAATTCACCCAATACTTCTCTTTCATATGGCTGCTCTGCCCTAGCTCCCCACCTTCACCCACATGTAATCATTCATTAATCTCCTGAATAACTCTTCCCCATCTCTTATTTTGTCCTGCAGTTGGACAATCATTTCTTGCCTAATATATACAATCTCCCACTTCTTACCTAGGACCTAAAAATTCATCTATACTACTGCCATTTAAAGCCCTTTAACAAGCTTTCACAGGTAAGACCCAACCTCCTTAACATATCGAGGACCATTCATTATCCTTGCCAGTAACTCCAAGTGTATCTCCCCCCATCCCACTGGAGACTTTAATCCTTTAGTGACACCCCAAAATGTGCCATGTACTGTCACAACTCCTCAGTTTACTCATTCCGTGGGTACCAAGCCATTTCATACTACCAAGTCTTTGCTTATGATAGAAAATCTTTCTTTTTTCCTCCAGGCTAAGAATAACAAAGCTTGAGCATATTTTCTTGTAAATCTTCCCTGAATCACAAGGCTCCTAAAGCACCTTGCAAGTACCTCTATTTGTAATTTGTTATAATTACGTATTTTTTTGTGTCTGTCTCTACTAACCAGTAAGCACCTTGAGGCTAAGAAACTCTAAACGGTCAACTAACATTTGACCAGAGAACCAAGAATATTCAATGAAAAAAAAAAAAAAGATAGCCTCTTCCATAAATGGTGTTGGGAGAACTGGATAACCACATGCAGAAAAATGAAATTGGATGTCTCTGTCTTATATCATTCACAAAAACAAACCTGAAATGGATTAAAGACTTATATTTAAGACCTGAAACTCCTAGAAGAAAACATGAAGAGCTCTTGACATTGGTCTTGGCAGCAATTTCCTGGCTATGATAACAAAAGCATAAGCAACAAAAATAAAAATCAACAAGTGGGAGTACATCAAACTAAAATGCATAGCAAAAGACACAGTCAACAAAATGAAAAGTCAATCTACAGAATGGGAGAAAATGTTTTTAAATCATATATCTAATAAAAGATTAATATCCAAAATATATAAAGAACTCATATAACTCAACAGCAAAAAAACTAACAACCCAATTAAAAAATGGACAGGGGAATTGAATATACAGGTTTCCAAAGAAGACATAAAATGATCAATAGGTACATGAAAAGTGCTCAATATTACTAATCATCAGGGAAATGGAAATGAAGAGCATAATGAGATATCACCTCACACCTGTTAAAGTGGCTATGGGAAAAGAGAATCCTTGGGCAGTGTTGCTGGGAATGTAAACTGGTGTAGTTGCTATGGAAAAGAGTATGAAGGTCCCCGCCAAAATTAAAAACTGAACTACCATATATGATCCAGCAGTCCTAATTCTGGATATATATTCAAAGGAACTGAAATCAGGACCTAGCAGATTATCTGCACTCTCATTTTCACTGCAGCATTACTCACAATAGCCAAGATATGGAAACAACCTAAGTGTTTGTCATTGGATGAATGGATAAAGATGTGGGGTACACACACAATGGAAATATCAACCACAGAAAGAAGGAAATCCTGTCATTTGTGACAACTTGGATGAGACATAAGGACATTGTGCTAAGTAAAATAAGTAAGATACAGAAAGACAAATGTTATATGATCTCACTTATATGTGAAATCCAAAACAGTCAAACTCAGAAGAGAGGGGTAGTTAGTAGGGCTTGGGGGTTGCTGAAAATGGGGAAATACTGAACAAAGGGTACACACTTTCAGTTATAAGATGAACAAGTCTGGGGACCTAATAATATTGCATAGTGGTTCTAACTAATAACGTTGTATCATACACATGAATGCTGCTAAGAGTAAATCTTAAATGTTCTCACCACAAAAAAAGAAATGGTAACTAAATGAGGGGATGGAGGTGGTAGCTAATACTATGGAGTGGTAATCATTTTATAACATATAGATGTATCAAATCAACAAGTTGTACACCTTAAACTTATACAATGTCTTATGTCGATCATATCGTAAAAAAGCTGAAAAAATTCTAAATCATACTCTGGCAGAGACGAAATGTTCAGTAAACACCTGTTTAATAGAATTAAACTGAAATAAGAGAAAAGTACATAGCTTTGGTCACCTTAGTACTATCACTGCCATCATTGCTACAGGAAGGTTTAGGAAACTGCATCAGTACCATGTTACCAAATTATCAGTAAGATTGTCCTAGGGTAACAGAGGTCTGGACAAGTGATGACCCTAGAACCGAAATTATATATAAAAGAATAAGAAATTGCCTTCTAGGTATGAACTAAGGGACACTTAAAAACCTGCCTACCAAAAATAAAAGAAAAAATAATTCCTCATTGACTATAATTTGTAATTACAAAGCTCAAGTCGAATCTGCAGTACACCTCTATCAAGTATACTTCCAACCCCAATTCTTGCTCCTCCCAATTTCGTTTTCCTACATTTACTTTGTCCAATTTCGTTATCCTACATTTACTTTGTCATCAATTTCCTCAT